GTTATCAAAGTCAGCAAATGGAATCGGTTGTTTCCAATTAACCCACCACTAAATAAGGGTGACTTTGATCATGGTAAAGAAAAAGGGGAAAAAATGAGGCCAGTTCCAAGGAAACCACGAGATGGGTTGAAATCTCATTCTTATGGTTTCCTTTGTCTTCCAATCACCACTAAGACTCTTCCCAAGTGACAGCCTCTGTTGACCTGGCCTCGCAGGCAATGACGCTGCTGGTGTATGTCACGCTGCTGGCGCGCAAAGCTCGCCGTGGCACCTGCACAAAGAGAGAACAAGAAACAAATGCTGCCACACCTTTTCCGTACATGGACAAGCAAGAATGTGTCTGCCACGCCTGCCAAAAAGGAGCGTACATGTTGCAAGAGGCCCACACTCCAGCTCTGGCTCTCAAGTAGTGCACTTCTGCCAAAGAAATCGCTTCCTGAGAGCTGCCGCGCCGGGCATTTGAAATTCCGTTCTCCTCTAAACCTTCGCGCCTACAAAAGAAGAGCTTGCCGAACGAGGGCCCAAGGGTCCAAATGACCCCTGCCCATGTCTCCCAGCATGGGTCAGAAAAGACAGGGATTCCGGAAACTGTCGGGATCTGGGGCGGTAAGTTTCCTCAAGCTGTTCCCAACGCTGCGGGGCTCTTCAAGCAGTCCAACTCGTCCCGGCCTCTGCAAGGAGCACCAAAGCCAGCTGCCATTGCAGGCTGGCACCTCGAATCGTGATTCTGGCGTCCCTTTTCCTTGGAGCTTGAAAAAGAACCCGACTCACAGGAGTTACAATCATAGCTGACCCGGCACTTGGGAAGCTGGACTTGTCCATCAGATGACCTTTTGGAGAAATGTGGATGGGTTTCCTGGTGACTTTGCATAGCTGTCAAAAACCCTTTCGGAGAGATGTGGATGGGTTTCCTGGTGACTTTGCATAGCTGTCAAAAACCCTTTCGGAGAGATGTGGATGGGTTTCCTGGTGACTTGGCGTAGCTGTCAAAAACTTTCCTGGTGACTTTGCATAGCTGCCAAGCCACCCATCGCGCTGATGGTCGCATTGTAGGTGACGATGGTCCTGCAGCAAAGGAACCAAAGCTGGACCCTACTTGCTTCACACATCGCAACGGTCATGATTCCAGGCAGTCCAACTACTGCTAGCAGATTCGCAACTGTACCTCAAGAACTGCCTTGCATCCTTCTCGACGTTTGCCGAGAAGCCTGGGCTGTCCGTTTTCCAAACCCGAAAAGGATCCAAAAAGCTAAGGAACCGGATGGCCTTCGGGAGCCAGTGCCGAGCCTAATTCTAGTAGAGGCCAGCAAGGAGAGCGCAAGCTGCCAGCGGCCGCTGCCACGGCACGCTGTGAGGGCCGCGTTGACGACCACAGTGTCCCTTGAAACGCAGAGGCCGTCTACCCAGAACCACGCAAAGAATTAAGAAGGCAGCCGCAACTATTCATGGTTGGGATTGTCCCTTACTAGAATTTCCCCAAATCAAAGGTTGATCGATTGACTGGTGGTTTCCATTGTGCCAGCTCCAAAGAGACAATGGAGGAAACCCTGTTTGGAGCCCAGGGAAATATACGACGTTTTCGCATGGCCTGCGTCCTAGTCTTTGAACATTGCATGGTTCAAGCGAGAACGCAGCAAGCGCAAACATGTCAAACTTGTACATGCGTGTACTCTTGCAGACCCGCATCTACCAAACGGCACCTCAGACTTCATGAGTGCAAATATTCTTGCACTTTGCACCACACAATCATCATACAGCCAGAAAGCAATGCCAAAGCCACTTGGGCCGTCACACCCACCCGCCCACCCAACCCCGCAGCCCCATCCGACCTCCTGCATGCAACGTCTTGCAAATTTGATGACAGGCTCACGGGCTCCAAGAAGCCGTGTCACCACGCAACCTAACCTCAGAAATAATTGAATTCTTATTTTTGGGGGGGACCTCAAAACCTTTTTCTTAAAAGAAAATGGGATCTTTGCAATTGACATGCCTACTCCGAGCAACTTAGATTCACGTCCGCCCCGTCCGGCCTCTCTACTTGTTGCTGCTGCATCTCCTCGAAGAGAGACAGTGCAGCTTGCCAGCTGCTGCCCTGCCGGCTTGCCAAGCAAGTACTGCCCCATACTCTCCATCGACAAGAGATCAACTCAAGCATGTCAACTCTCCCACTGAAATATCTATCCTCGTCGCTGTCTTTCTTATCCAGGGCCCATCATTTTCTACTTTCTGTTCCTTTGTGAATCTCAGGTCTTGGACCGTCATTGTCAACCTCAGGTTCGTTCAAACTGCTGTTCTGTGCATTCTCTCTCATTTTTCCTGCGCCCCGATTCAGGGCCACCAAATAGTCCTCTTAGAATGAGCACCAAAGTCATTGCACCCCAACATGAGTTTGATGTGGCAAACAGGATCCTTCAATCCCGTTGCGGACCTGCTCCTCATGTCAATCATGCATCCTGCCCCAAGGAGCTGAAATCTGAAGGGTGGTGAGAGACATTTATATGTGGTCATTGCTCCAAGGTCGCTATTAGATCATGGTCAACTCAGAAAAACAATCAATCAGTGATGACAGCTCTCTCTTTCTGTCTTTGAAAACTGTAGATACAGGGGCAAAAGAAGGCATCGTTCTCATCACATATCCTGGCATCTGGTGAAGGGGAATGTTCCTTGTGGCAAGTTCAAGGGTCTCCCAATTGGTTGTCCGGCGGCAGATGAGATGTTCTGCTTGGGTTGCTTCTGAAACCCCAACCAGGCTCTGAACAAAGCCTGTGTAGGCCCTCACACCTTGTCAGCAATTTGGCTGTGGCTCAAAAAAGTGGAACCCATTTCTGGGCCCCTTGGACACAAAGACCAAAACCTGCGTAACCCCAGCCGTTAAATTTGAGCCGCCATTTTGGACCTCAGCGCTCGCTCAACCCTCCCGCACCTTGGCACAGTCCCGGATGGCGGTGGCGTAGTGTGCCGCATTCCTCCCAAGCTGCAGCACCTGCCCGGAACCGCGGAACCGCCAAGCGGTGTGCGACCTTCCCCTACTCTGGATGGACGAAATCCGTTCGCACCATGGTTGAAACCAGACTGTTTGTTGGTATTTACGTTGGAGAATCGACATTCCTTGGAAACCATGAGAAACCATTGTTTGTAGGTATTTACATGGGGGGAATCAACATTCAGTATCTCACTCGCTGCTGCGCGCCTTTTTTTTGGGCCACCTCCGTAGGCACAGCTGTACATGTGGCGTCCGGTGTCCCCATAAGTTTACTGAAAAGTTTGAGTCTGCTTTGCATGTTCTTACATTTCCTGGGTTGTCTCATCAAAGATTGTGTAGTCATCTTTTGTTCAGGCGGTTTCTTGCAACATGTTTTTGAGCTGTCAAGGTGGCTGTGTTTCTCTTGCTCGATGGCTTGAAACTCCAAAGAGGTCCGAAACAATAGGTGTCCTTTTTGGGAAAATAGATGGATTTCCCTGGTAGTTGATCGAACCACCAGGTAAACCAGGAATCGCCCTCTATTTGTTCAACCAAGTCAACCGAAAAGGACACCTATGTCTGAAACGTGCCACCTCACGGCGCATCTTCGAGAAAAAGCTGAGGCGAGCAGGCCATGACTCGCGCGCGAGTCGTGTCTTGGATCATCGCCAGAGCCGGTTGCTGGTGCACCGTGGCAGCCATGATGAGACTCGAGCGCTCGACCTTCTCGATGGGATTCACGTTGTCCTCATAGGTGCCCTTTTGGAAAACTAGATGGCCCTGGTACATGGAATCAACCCCATCTACCCTCTATTTAATAAGCAAACCAATCACAAAGGACACCTATGTCCTGCGTCACCGTCTCGAGCACCGACTTGTCGAAGCAGTGGGTGGCTGCCACCACGATGTGCAGAGAGGCGTGGCTCAGGGGCAAGGCGCCGGATTTGGTCATCGCGTCCAGGAGGTCGAAGGCCGCATCCTTCTCGCGCTTCTGCTTCTCCGCGTCCAAGGTCTCCGTTGTTTGCTGGGCCAAAAGCTTCGCCTGGGATCTCTTGGTCCAGCTGGCGCCGCAGCTGACGATGGTGGCCCGCAGCGCGCTGTCGGGGTCGAGCTGCTCGAAGTCCGCATCCAGCTGCGAGGGAACCTCTGTGTAGTCCCGACCCTCCAGCTTGACCTCAGACCTCTCGTGACCCCGCTGCTGCCGCTGCCCCGGCGGCGGCGGAGCCGGCGCCTTGGGGTCCAAGCGGCTGCCTTTGGCTGCTTGGTCGCTTTTCTTCTTTGCCGGCGCAGGGCCCGCGCCCGCTGCCCCGGACGGACTGGCTGTCATGGCTGTGTCAGGCCGGGAACTTCTGCGGTCGCTCTCACTACTCACCTTGGTAATACTTCGAAACATCCCACCACCAGCCCCTCTGCTCAGAAGCGAACCACGGCTCGAACGTGCAGCTTTGTAAAACGCCTTGGATTGGTTTGAGAGATCGCAAGAGATATCTTTGATAGTTGCACACCGCTTTTGCATGTCTTCCACATTCTGCATCACCAGCTGCTTGGTTTGGTCCATCTCGTCGCGGATCCGCTGCTCTCTCTGCTCCCGCTCCTTTCGGAATTCTGCCTCTTGCTTGCGCTCCTCAAGTTCCTCCCTCTTCTCGGCCTCGATCATGTCATGCATGGCCCTCACCTGGCCATGGGTCGAAATCCAAATCGTACCCCCAGTGAACAACATCCCAATCCAACCACTAAAATCCGCCGACCCCATGCCTTGCCTGGTTCAGAATGGACCATGCTTTTGGCATGGGGGCGGTGTGTTCTGTGTTGCTTTTGTTGATATGTTGTTTTCTATAGGTTTAATGTGAATATAATTATGTATATATATATATATATATGCATATATATATATATATATACAGGAAGGCTGAAAACCGAACCGGAAACCGGTTAACCGAACCGGTTTTCAAAACCGCAAGAAAACCGGAAACAAACCACAAACCGAACCGAACCGAACCGAACAGAAACCGAACCGTCTCCAGGTTTGCAGGGGCAGCAAGCGTCAAAGCAACAAACCCGCATTATTGGCCGCTTCTGGTTCTGATTTTTGCTTCCGCAGTGCTCGCAACACACGAAACACTGCTGAAATTTGGCAAGGCAAAAAAAACGGCCCACGAGCGGTCAGTGATCTTGTTTTTTTGGGCTGCTCGGCTTTGGCGCAGACAACAGCACCGCCACGGGATCCCGTTCCAAAGCGGCAGCAAGGGGAATTGAACCTGCAATCTTTGCTTGCGCTTCCGGACTAGCTGCCTGCCCGAGCATCGTCACCAGCTCCCCCTGCCCGCGCAGGATTGCCCGAGCACCCTGTTGCAGCCTGGCTGCGCCAGCAGCGCGAGAAAAAACAACTCACCGACGGTAAGGGCTTGCTCTCCCGGCGCAACGCTTAGCAGGCCACTGCAGCTGAGGGCCCTTTGCTGCAAGCGTCAAAGCAACAAACCCGCATTATTGGCCACTTCTGTTTCTGATTTTTGCTTCCGCAATGCTCGCAACACACGAAACACTGCTGAAATTTGGCAAGCAAAAAAAAACCGGCCCACGAGCGGTCAGTGATCTTGTTTTTTTGGGCTGCTCGGCTTTGGCGCAGACAACAGCACCGCCACGGGATCCCGTTCCAAAGCGGCAGCAAGGGGAATTGAAGCCGCAATCTTTGCTTGTGCTGCCGGAGTTGGTGCCTGTCCGAGCATCGATCTATCTCACCAGCTCCCCCTGCTCCCGCAGGATTGCCCGAGCACCCTGTTGCAGCCTGGCTGCGCCAGCAGCGCGAAAAAACAACAACTTACTGACGGTCAGTTTATTTTTTTGCGCAGCCCGGCTTGGTTGGAACAGTTTCTCGCGGGCCGAACGGGAGGAAAACTGAGTTGCCCGCTGTCACTGCGGCGCCTTGCCGCCTTGCCCCGCCACGGGATCCCGTTCCAAAGCGGCAGCAAGGGGAATTGAACCTAGAATCTTTGCTTGCGCTGCCGGACTAGTTGCTTGTCCGAGCATCAATCTATCTCACCAGCTCCCCCTGTTCGCGCAGGATTGCCCGAGCACCCTGTTGCAGCCTGGCTGCGCCAGCAGCGCGAGAAAAAAACAACTTACTGACGGTCAGTGCGTTGTTTTTTTTGCGCGGCCCGGCTTGGATTGGAACAGTTTCTCGCGGGCCGAACGGGAGGAAAACTGAGTTGCCCGCTGTCACTGGCTTGCTCTCCCGGCGCCTTGCCGCCTTGCCCTGGGCCTGCCCTGCCGTTCCCCAACGCCCCACCAGCCTGATTGCCAGAACTTTTGGCACGCTTAGCAGGCCACCGCAGCTGAGGCCCCTTTGCTGCACGTGTCAAGGCAACAAACCCGCATTATTGGCCGCTTCTGGTTCTGATTTTTGCTTCCGCAGTGCTCGCAACACACGAAACACCGCTGAAATTTGGCAAGAAAAAAAGTGACCCATCAGCGGTCAGTGACTTGTTTTTTTTCGCTTTTGAGCTTTGACTTCTGAGATGCTTCCCAAGGCCACGTGCGCGGAACAACATGCTCAGCATCAGTCAGTGGCATGGTTCGTTTGTTTGTTTTTGTGTTTGTGAGTTTGTGAGTTTGTGAGTTTGTTTGTTTGTTTGTTTGTTTGTTTGCTTGCTTGCTTGCTTGCTTGCTTGCTTGCTTGCTTGCTTGCTTGCTTGCTTGCTTGCTTGCTTGCTTGCTTGCTTGGTTGGTTGTTTGTTTGTTTGTTTGCGTTTGTGTGTGTAATTGTGTCTGTGTGTGTGGTGTGGGATGGCGATGTCAGATGGATGGCGATGCCAGAGATGTGGAAGTTGGCGAAGTGTGGGCGAAAGCAGACTGAGTTACCTAGAGCCTTATCTTACTTTTCTGCACTAACCGTGCAAACCGGCAGGTTTTGGAAGGTTATGAGTAACCGCCACTAACCGGAGAAAGGTTTTCAAAAGGTTTCAGAAACCGAACCGAACCGAACCTAACCGTGGCCACCCTGTATATATGTCCCTTGCCCAGGGAGTCCAAAGGCCTGAGTTACGGAGGCCGTTTAAACACAGAGGTTTTTTACGGCCTTTTTACGGGGTGTTTACGGCCGTTGACAAAAGGCCTAAGTTACTCAGGCCGAGGAAGCTCTGGGTTGGGACGGGAAAATACTTCGGCCGGATTTCTGGATCTCTGGATCTCTGGATCTCTGGATCTCTGGATCTATCTCTGGATGTCTGGATGTCTGGTTTTCTGGTGCAAGGGATCAAAGCCTTGGACACCCCACCCTGTCTTGCTGTCAAAAAAGAGTGGCGCACCTGTAACCGACACTTGTAACGGTTGACAAGAACCACATGGGGTGGCAGCGAAGCATTGGGCCAAGGGACATGTCCAACCCCTTGCAAAGCTGAAGGCAACCGTAGCAAGGCTCTGGACTACACGGGCTTTTGGACTTTCACGGAGTCAATGCAAGCGGAGTTGCCAAAGCGGAGGGTGTCCAGGGCTCTTAGACTTACACGGGCTTCTCAAAAGTCCGCACCCTGGCTCAAGATGCTGTTTCGGCTTGGACGGGCCGATTTTCAGCCGCTGTTCCTGTTCCGCAATCCGTAGCCTGGCTCAAGCTGCCGCTTTTGCTCAAACCCCCGAAACCGGGGGCTAGGTCAGTTGAGTAAGAAGTATCGCCTGCTTGCTGCACCTGCAGCAACTGGCGATTGCTACCCCCCCCCCCCCCAAAAAAAAAGAAGAAGAAGAGGTAAGATGGGTGGTGAACCAATCCCCCAAGATGGGATCCCAAACCGGTTTCGACCACCACAGCCTGTTGGCGCACCGTCTGCAGCTGCACTTGGGTGGCCGGCACGCCCGGCACGCCCAGCGGGGCGAAGGAGAGGAGGTCACTGGGGATCTGGTACTGGATGAAGAGCTGCATGAGGTCCTGCGTCAGCTTGATCTCTTTGGTGAGGCTTTCCTCCGGCAAATTCAGCAGGCGCTCCAGCTGCGGCTTGATCTGCACCACGACGATGCCGAACAGGGTACTCTCCAACTGCATTGCCCGGAAGGCTTTGGCAAACCGCTGCTGCTCTGGGGACAGCGACTCGATGGCATCCTTGAACTCCTTAGGAGTTGGGATGGTCGCCAGATCCAGGGGGATCTGCAGCTCGTCCTTGTTCTGCAGCAGCACCGCGTGTTTGGCCTCAAAGCCGGTGGCGGAGGTCACGTGGCCCAAGAGCACGATGAAGGAACTGAACTGCCGCGCCCGAGCCACCAGCGAAAGCTTGGCACCGGTGTCGCTGGAGAACTGATGGCCCAAATAAGCGTGCAGCTGCGCCTCCCCCGTGAAGGAGACCTGGGTGGACGCGTTCAGCGGAATCTTCATCTCCACTTTCCCGCGGCAGCAGCTGGTGCAGATCGGCTGGATGGTCTCTCCCATTTCCTCGATCCCCAGGCTGCCCTCGGGGTCATGGTCCTGGGAGCGGCGGATCGGGCTGCAGAAGGGCTTTGGGGCAAAGGCCTCCCGGAAGAGCCGCCGGTGATGGAACCGCATGTAGGCCGCAAAGTCCACGGGCGTCACCTGGCCAAGCCCCCCGTGAACATCAACCAATCCAACCACTGAAATAGGGACCCTGAGATGGGTGGTGAATTCACCTACCCCAAAATGGTTGATGCGCCTACCAACCAAAATGGGATCCCAAAACGGTTTTGACAAGCACAGCCACCTCCTTGCCAATTGCAGCCACCAGCTGCTTCCGCAGCATGGCCTCGACGTAGGCGAGCACCTGCAGCCACTGTTCCACGACGTTGAAGCAGTGGAGGTGGCTCAGCAAGACGTAGGCCTCCAGGCTGCTGAAGCCTTCTGACCCGATCTCCTCCTGCAGGCTCTGGCGCCTCTCAGCCAGTAGCCGGGACTCCTCCAGAAGCAGGCGGTTGCTATCCACTTTTGAGACCACCGGCTCCTCCGTGCCGGAGCTCTGAACAAAGAGGGGCAGCACCGGAACAAAGACCTCGCAAGACATCTGCAGGGGCTGTTCCGTGGGCCGGCACTTCTGGAAGAGCCCTGTCATGTAAGCGCTGACCTGGCTGTGGGTCAAAACCGTTTTGCTACCATTTTGGTGTAGATGAATTCATCACTCATTTGTTTCCTATTTTAGTGGTTGGATTGGGTTGTGTTCACTGGGGGGCTAAATCCGATTTGGCTTTTGACCCATACCTGCGCTGACCAGGAGCTCAGCTTCATCATGTACTTCTCCATCTCCTCGACCTCCGCGTTCCGGCGCGGGGTGCGGCACGCCTTGGCCGCGCGATCCACCGAGAACTGCGGCGCCGGGACTTCGTCCGAGGTGATGTGGCGCAGCAAGAAGCCTGGGCTGTCCGCTTTCTGATCCCCGATCGCTAAAAAGTGACGAACGTTTCATGGGTCAAGTTCGGAACCTCCCGCCACTGAACCAACAAAAAGGTCCAAAAAAAAGCAAAAGGAAAAGCCGGATGGTTCCCAAAACCTGAGGAAAAGCCGGATGGCTGAGCCTTGAGCCACCAAGAAGCTGACCTCCACCTCGAGCTGCGCCGAGGACTTCTCCCGCTGCGGCGGCATCTTGCTGCCAGTCCTCAGCTCGCAGCCGTCGCGGCGCGCAAGCAGCGGCAGGCGCTCCGAGTCGTCGGCGCCCACGCCGCGCAGCGCCTCAAGCTCCCAGGCGAAGTCGAAGCGCCAGAAGAACTCGGTGACCTGGCTACGTTGTACCCCTGGTGAACATCAAAATAGGTGGCAAATGGTTCATCTGGCGATATATGGCTGGTCAAAACCCAGGAAAGCCCTGGTGAACATCAAAAAAGGTGGCAAATGAAAAGGTTCCACCCCAAATTGAGATCGCCATAGGTTGTGCCACATGGCCATAGGGACAAAAATAGGGTAAACCCAAAATGGGTTGCCCGAGCGGTAAATGGAACCAAGGACTCAAGCCTGCTGTCCAATTCCTGGTGGCTTAATTTTGACCCCAAATTTTTGGGGCTGAGATTACGCAGGTGTTGTGTCCATCCAAGGGGCCCAGAAATGGGTTCCACTTGTTTGAGCCACAGCCATATGAATTTGGGTTGGAACTTTCGTTTCTTGCTTCGCCCGCGTTTCTGTCAATCAGCATATGAGCCAGTTTGTTCAGGGGTCCATGGAAAATGGGAAAATGGCATTTTTGGTCAAATGATCAAGAAAAAACAAGCTCTTTTTGAATATGTTCCTCTCGCGCCCGCCTTGGTCACAGTCCTGCTGCTGAGCCCCATGCTCATCCCCGCGAAGGAGATCTCATTCACTCGCCGCGTGGGATCCTCCACCTCCCGGGTCTCCTCCCGCACGAAGCTGCAGGACTCTCTGGATCTAAAACCTGGGCGGCCCGGTTTCTCCCCGAGCGCTGAAAGTGACTCACTTCTGTTTTTCCTTTTTTTTTTTTTTTTCGGGTCCAATGGAAACCCAAAAGTCTAGAAAGTCTAAAAAGTCCAAAAAGTAAAAGACTTTAAAAAGCGGGGACGGCGGGTTAAGCCAAGAAACGGAGCGACACCGCATTTCCCTCCGCCCAAGCCCGCAGCTGCCGCAGCTTCGCCGTATCCAACCCGAGCGACCCCAGGCAGTTCAGCTGTGAGCTCAGCGCCAAATTCGAGGCAACCGCCACGAGCTGGAACTTGTCCTCGTAGCCTGCTTTTCTTTTGCGCAAAAGCCCCTCAAAGGAAAAAAAACATAAATGTATATATATATATATAACATTTGTCCAGTAGTGAAATCGACTCCTTTTAAAAACCAACAGGGGCAATTCTTTAAATAAAAAATATATGTTTAAACCAATGGAAGTAGCTGTGCTGCACCTCTGTCGCCAGCTGCGGGCGCTTCTCCGCCTCCAGGAGCAACTTCACGCGCTCCAAGGCCTTCTGCAGCTTGCCTTCGAACTGCGCCATGCTCATGTTCTCCATCCGCACGACTGAAATCGAACTGTACAGACAGTCGAGCCAATGCCTCGCACCTCGCAGAAGGGCCGATTCTCCAAACCGAAACAGAAAAGGTCAAGCTGCTGCGGATGGCTGCGAAAGCCAGAACCGCACCGCCGTTCAGAGAACTGCTGGTGTCTGACGGCTTCCCCTGTAAAAAATGCCAAAAAAAACCCATGGTTTCAAACCCTGGCTTCATTTCGCTTTTTGCGGTGCCCCCGATTTCGCGACTATGATCCGATGATCCGTCGCTCTCGCCCAGGCCTCGGCGGACTTGCGAGTTTGCGGCACATCGGGGCGCGCCGCCTCACCGGCGGACCGCGCTGAGACCGCAGGACCATTTGAACAAACTTCACCCTCACAATACGGCGGATGGTTGCGAACTCCATTTCGCAGCACTTAGGAAAACTCAGAAATCCCGGTGTCTGATGATTCCCGTGAAAATACTAACCAACGTTGTGGTTTCAACCATGGCTTCAAAGTGGTGCGAACGGATTTCGTCCATCCACAGTATTGCGGGATCAACATCGCAACATCATGCTAGAGCACCTCGTGCTACATTGAACAGGCCGTTCAGCCAATGTACAAAGCCCGCGCCGGGATCCAAAATCCTCCGACTTGAGGCCCCGTCGGACATGTCACACTCCCCACACAACTCACCGCCTGGCTGGATGTGCCCGCTCTCATGGCTTGCTCAAGCAGAGCGGGTTTGCAAGCTTCTAGGTCCCAGAGATGGAATCCCGAGCTTCAAATGGCTAAATGGGTCAAACTTAAGTTACCAGGAATTGGACCGCAGATTTGCGTCCATGTGTCCATTTGCCAGGGCAAGCCATTTTGGGGTACCTGTTTTTGACCCCCAGCCAAATCAAACGTCAAAGGTGTTTGCCCTACCTGCAAATGGAAAGCCCCTTTCAAGCCAAAAAAAAGTGGGTGTGCTGGGCACCCTCGGACCCATCTGAGCGGTTGCTATGGCTTGACTGACTGGCGTGGTCTATGGCAGCCTGCAGACTTCCGCACATGAGCCGCAAATGAGTCTCCGGGGCATCCGAACAGCTTCACTCGCAGAGTCCAAAAGCAAACCGTCCCAGGGGATGGAACGACTAAGCGCCGGTTAAGCGTTCTTGTTGATTTCTTTCACCTTCAAGAGTTCCTAACAGAGCGGCTGGGCGGTTGCTCCACGCGGGAGGCAATTGGGGGTTGATCAACCAGCCCGACAAACATGGGCAAACCACCCAAAAAGATCGACTTTCACCACATGGGAACAGCTGGTCATGTCGGGGCCCTCAATGGAATCTCGATCCAATCCCCCCACTTGGCTATGGGTCACAACCCCCACAGTGAACATCCCAATCCCCACTAAAAGAGGTTCTAAAAGGGGTGGTGAATTCACCTACCCCAAAATGGGATCCCATTGGTGTTGACCCACGGCCACCAACGCCCAGCATCCCCAGTTGAGGGCACTGGCTGCAGGGCAGCCCCGTGGTCGCAGCGCACCATGAGGTGCACCGCCGAGTCACCCTCCCAGCTCCGCTGTAGCAGGTCTGCCTGAAACCGGTCGACGGACAAGCCGACTTGACAAGTCGACCTGACCTTATGCGCCCTCTCTCCCCACAACTGGGCTGTCCCAAAATGTTCTGATCCCCGATTGCTACAAGTGACTCACTTGTGGGTGAAATGCGGAAACCCAACCACTAAACCAACCAAAGGATCTAAAAAGCTATGGGGATGGCTGGGAGCCAGGAGCCACCAAGACACCCATCTCCGGACAAGATCAGTCGCAAGAATGGCAACCCACCTTGAAGTGGTGCAGCACAGAGATGGTTTCCGCCTTAGAACTGCAGCCCAAGCATGGCCAAACGCGAAGAGATGCTCTTCCCCGAAAACAGCCTCCAGCAGCAAAGGAATGGCCGTGCTTATCGACTTCGTGCATGGGCTAAACGGTAGACATCGGAATTCTTCGACGCTCCGGGCCCCGCGCGTCACCCTTCAGGGAGCCCCAAAGCACCGCCGTCCAGCCACGGGAGTCACCTGGTGCCAAAGGTGTCCTTTCGGGTTCTTGCTAGTGCAAGAGATGCAGGGAATGAGTGAATGACCCCGATTTGAGCCATCCCTTGTGGCTTCCTGTAGGGGACTCCCTAGGTGCATTCCCACACTCTCTACTGAGCACCAGCAAGTCGGTTTCAACCAGAAACACCCACTGTGGAACTGTTGGAACCGGAACGGGCCTTTGGGTAAGGCCCGTTCAAAAGGGAAGATGCAAACACACACACACACACACGAGAGAGAGAGAGAGATGGAAAAGGCTGCCCGGGGCTGTAACATCAACTGTTTTAGTTTCTCTGTTTTTGGATGGGATGGAAATCACGTGAAGGCCCCCCTTGCAGCGCGCGACCTGAAATCGTCACGAAATCGAGCCTAACAAGCATGGCCTATTGCTTGTTTCGCTGACAGAGAGCTCGGCCCCTTGACAAATGCGGAAAACACGCCCAGGTCGCGTCCCCAACAGCCCAAAGAAAAATTCCTGGAAACAAATCTCCTGAAGCTGCTCCGCACCCCGAACGAGCCAGGCTTCCTGTTGCGGAAAGATATCTCAACTTGGATGAGGCGGGCACACAACTCCGGCCTGCGGCCTGCGGATTAAACAAGAAGAAAAAGAAGAACTTGCAAGGCGCACTTACGCTTAGGGTGCCCCTCCAGATGTAGTTCAACAGCTCCTCCAAGTGGACGTTTCTCAACATAGGGAACCCCATTTTTTGGATGGTGGTTTTTGATTATCATGAAACCAAAAGGAACCCACCTGTCTGAAGCAATCATACCACGGCAAAACTTGCAGATCAAAACGATGCGTCCATAGATCGGCAACTCCTTTTGTCTGGCAACGTTCGTCCCCGCATCAGTTCTTGGGCCACCGCGGAGGTTCATGTCGGCCTTTTGGGTCCCTAGCAATCGAACCTCACCAGAAGCCAGCCAAAGCGCAGCCCGAGGCGGGTTTGGGTATGTGGCAAAACAGGGATCTGACTGATCTGACCCCCCCCCCCTCCCCGAAAAAGGGCGGGGCGTTTCCTTTTGTCCAATCATCCTTCACAGGCAGGGTTGCTATGATGTGGATTGTTATAAAATTCAGATTCTTAAAATAATGTGATTGAAGAGTGATTGAAGTGCCGCGTCCCGGTCGAAGTGCGGATGCGTACGGAAGCATGCGTGACAATGTCCTAGGCTTTGGTTTGGGGAATTCAAAAGATGATGCATCGCACGAACAACTTGCTGGTGCGATAGGCAGGGAATGAGAAATGGAATGATCACTGGGTTCATTCCATTTCACATTCCCCACCGATTTCCCCAAGACAAATCTGCCCAAGAAACCGAAAACGCGTCGCCCCGCCAGCAGCCAGCTCCGGTTGCAACTCGAGCTCCGCATGCCGAGGTCCCGGCGAGGTCGGGGTTGCCGTGGCGTGCCGACCACATCGTGGCAGTCCTCCGGCGATGGCCATCGTGGCCCGAGCGACGAAACCCGTGGGTTTGGTGCAGAGAACTCTGTGTAACGACGACTTTTATCTTGGAAAGGGGCTTTGGCGTGCACAAACCCTTGGAATGTGGGAGGGAAAACAAGGGAAATGGGCGTTGGCGCAAAGCCATGGAATGTTGGGAGGCTACTCCATGGCAACTGATCTGAGTTCATTCCTCGTGAGCCTGCGCCTCCGGCCATCGCAGTCTGAGCCGCTCACATGTTCCGCCCAAAGCCTTCACCCATCGGCCTCGGAAAGCTGGAGGAGAGCAACCGTGAACTGACTCTCCGAGTCTTTTGGCCCCAGGAACTTGCTGCTTCTCAGGGAATGAGTTGGGAAAAAAAAAGAGAGAAAACCCGTCTATTCCCGATTTTGGTTTTCTTCATTCGAAACTCCCTCAAAAAAACTGTGAATTCCACCAACCACCCGGAAACTCGTTGCCATTTCCCTACAAGCGGAAACCCGAGCGCACCGAGCCCAGCCAAATGGGCCGCGATCGGATCGATCAGATGAGGCACTGGCTCCTCGCCGCAGCGCGCGGCCTCTTCTGAGCCTCCGATGACCTCGTCCTACGAGGCAAAGCCCTCGATTCTTCTGCCCCCTTTCCGCAAGCCCGAAAGCCTCACTTCCCATCGAAGTGGATGGTTCAAAAACCGCAACCCAAGCTGAAGTCTCACCACTCAATAAATCGACAACCAACCCAAGAAGGTGACGAAAAGTCCAGCTCTGGAAGTGAGCGCCTCCAGGCGCCTTTGGGGCCATGCGCCATCCAATCCCATTGGGAACAGGTCTCCATGACCGGTTCGGTTCTCGCTTTAGGAGGATGCCTTGTAGATCCAGGACAAACAAACAGATCAAAGAAGCAACTTACCTGAGAAGGAATCACATGGTGTCACATTCTGGACATTGTGTGCTGTACATATACGTTGAACGGCGGTTGCTCAAATGTTTCAGCTGTCGAAGGTTCGTTCGGAAACATTCTGTCAGGGAAGAGCATGTTCCGTCATCTTCTGGGCAGCCGGGTCCTCGCGATCTGCGGCTGTGATGTTACCTGAGAGACAAGAATACGCGCCAAGACACATCTGTATGGCGGTAGGATGTCTTGCCAAGTTGCCAAGTGACCTGGTATGGTTGTGAGTGACCTCGTGTGTGCGTGGCGATGTTGTGGTGACGTGTGACAGCAAGTGAGAAGATGATGACGATGATGACGACGACGATGATGAGTTGGAGGAAGCTTAGTATTTGGGAAGCAGGTACTCGCACCACGGAATTTGCTCACTTGCTTAAAATGTGGCCTAAAAAACCAAGTCTCGCCGAATGGAAGGCTGAAACGCGAGCATCACCGCTGGCCCAAACCCAGCCTTCGCGCGGCGCTTGACCTCCACCTCCGCCATCCTTGCCCTGTGGGTGGGTAGGTGTGGGAGGGTGTGGGGGGGGTGGGGGGGTGGGGGGGTGGGGAGGAAGTGTCGGACCCCATGTTTGCCCGGTTACAGTTCGGGGGGTGGATCACTGATCACGGCAACTAACCTTTTACGTCCTGGTTGGAGCTTGGAGGAAAAGCCGTAATCAACGTGTAGAGGCAATTGGCCACGAACAAGGCACGAACAGCGTTCGTCCTATTCACGCCCACACGCAACATGGCACGTCACAGCAAGCCATGCAATTCGCATGAGCCGGGCGGGCTTCAACCAAATTCAATCCTCGACCCCCAAATTCAACAAACGGGGGTGTCTCAAATTGGGAGGCCTCTTTTCGGATAGTTTCGAAGGGAAACCAAAAGGAAACCACCTGGAGTCCCCAATTTTGAGAAGCTAACCCAACAGGACCTTTACTCATCGCCCATACGACTCATCCATCGCTCAGCAGGCCTGCTTGGCATCGGGACCTCGATCATTCGGAGCGGTGCTCGGTGCTGGGTGCCGATTTTGTCGGAGAGGTCCGCCGGGGTTTTTTGAACCAGAAAAACACCTTCAAAGGCAATGGCTCTCACAAAAAATAGGGTTCCCCGAACATGGCAAAGCGTACCTTTTGGTTTCCCTTGATGCCAATGAAATTCCGTTGAGAAACTCTGATGTAACTCTTCTTCTTTTTCCCGTCAGGCTCCCTTCTCGGGCCGTGCTTCTTTTTGTGAAAAAAAATGCAAAAACCGCCGCTTTTGCCCTCTATTTTTGGGGTGGCAACTTTCCCCCCCCTTTTGCCCCGCTCCGAACCCCTCCCAAACCGAAAAAAGACGAGACGACCAAAGGGTCCCCCCCATTTTGGGGTCCCGCACAGGCGCCCTGTTGCAGAGCCTCCTCGGCCTTTGCCAGGTCGGAGTCCTGGGAGTCACAAGGCAAAGCGAGGTCCGGTGGAGAGCTTGGAGGACTTGGAAGAAGTTGGTACCCGCTACCCGCGTTTTTTTGCGGTAGTCGCTTCTCTTTTTTTAATGAGGGTACCCACTTCTCTCTCTCTTTTTTTGCGGTGGTCTATTTTAGTAGGGGAACTTCCCCAAAAAAAGGGTAAAAGGGTAAAAGGGTGAAGGAATTATAATCGATTTGGGAAGGCTTGGAGGTGTTAAACAGAAGGCTTTGTATGCTGCACAAAGGGTTTCGGGCAACAGAAGCCACCAGCAAGTGGGGTGTCAAACAGAAGGAACCCTAGAGCAGAATCCCTTCAATGTGAAGAAGAGGAGCGGTCACAATCACAATGGAAACCCAACCACCGCTCTCCACGAAAAATGGATCTGAGCTAAGTTGAACCGGATGGCTGGGAGCTACCAAGTGAGTCAGAATCCAAACTCTGCATTCTAAAATGGTTCTAAAGGTCAGAACCATGTGAAGAATTTTGAAAAGGGGGAGACCCGCATCCATGGCTGCGGTCGCCCCTTTCCCTCCAATTGCTCTAGTGGGCTGTCCGTTCACTTGTGGGTTAAATTCGGAAGACAAAGCTTAAGGGGATGGCTGGGAACCGCCAAGGAACACCCAACTGCGAACTTCGCGAAATTCGAGGACAGTACCTCTGTGACTTGTGCTGCCAATCTGCCACTGTCGTGGCTGGTCTTGCCCACAGGCTTCAACAAAAATCAGGCATGCCAGACCCCGGCAACAGGTCAGACAGGCAACATGCCATGGTGACAGCAAGACTAGGGCCTAATAATTTCGGTGTATCGCCCAAAGCCATTTCAAGAAGAAGGCTCAAACTTGAGCCAAGCGTGCTTTTTTGTGTAGGGGGACCCCCCCGAAAAAAAATGGCTTCGGTGTTCCTTTTGGTTTCCCTTAAACACAGGGATCCTTACATTTTACACCTGAGCATTGCCTTGTAAATGGTGGTTCCCTTCATTTTGGCGTTGAAAAAGTGCCATGTTTCAACTGGTTGAAAAAATGGAGATCTCTTTTTTCAGGAGCCCTGCTTTCAAAAGGCGGGCAGAGTTGGGGGGCTTTGGCCCCGCGACCTCGCCTGCGCCGCCTGCAGGAGCCGGGTGTTGGCGCCCAGAATGGCCGCCAGCCGCACGCCTCGGTTTTGGTTTGTTCGCCGAGCCCGGCGAAGCTCTCGGCGGCGAGGCACGGTTCGTGGTGCGGCTGAGACATGGGGTCCCTCCAAACTGGGACTGGGACTCGCATGGTTTGGTTTGGTTGGTGGGTCCCTTGGTTTGGTTTCCCTGAAAATGGGACCCTTTTTGGATGGTTTGGTTTGTAGGCTCAGGTGATATCCTCAACAGCGTGCGGTGCTCTTTTTAGTGCTCCCTATCTGGGAGACCCCAAAGCTTTCCGCTGTTGGGGAAAGAAAAATCTCACCTATCTGGAGGGGTCCCTCATTTTGAGAAACACCCATGTTCTGGGTGGCCCCGTAGGAATCCTTGCAGCAGTTTTTCGTCCATAGACACTCCCGCTAGAAGGGCAAGGCCTGCCAAGACGTGGCTCAGTTGTCCAGAAACCGGCTTGGACGCGGCTTTTGTGGATCCACCTCGAAAAGAGTACCAAAGAACCAATAGGGCGGAAGAAACTGGCGACATGCACAGTGCATCCAAGCCATTTTCTAGAATGCGGCGGGGCCCTTTCGAAACGAAGCAGGCGTCGTGAAGATTTGTGTGTTGCTGGGCCAGTTGTTCGGTCTCCATGGTCTCTTGAAACTCTGCACAAAGATGCCAAGTATCGGTTTACTCTCTTCCCTTTCCGGAAAAAAGACGCATGCCGATGGAACACAAGCACCAGACCCTCGCCGGTCTCACCTTCGCAGCCCATTCCTGGGGCCCGCCTCAGAGACCCCTTGGCAGCCCCGGTTGTTGTTGCCAAATTTTCGAAATCCCGCGCCAAAAAAAGGTCGGCGAGCGCACTGGTCTTGTTTCTCTTCTCCGGTGTGCTCTGGAGCTCACGCCTCCGGAGCTCACCAGTCCCACACCCCAAACTGCCTCCGTTCCACAGCTTGGCCTTCGGGCCCACTCGCCGGCCCTTCTTGGCCAACTGCGCCCCCAGCTCGGAGTCCTCGCCTCCGCTCCGCGCGATTTTTTTCTCGAGCTCAGGCCCAAAGGGCCCCGGCCTTTGGCCGCGCCCGGCCTTCTCGGAGCTCCAAAAAAGAGGAAGAGGGCCCTTACAAGAACCACTCGCGGATGTCGCTGGTCCCTTTCCGGGCCTGTTTTGAAGCTGGGATGACTTATCGGCCTACACTGCGGAGATATCCAATGTCCGGGCTTTTCATGGGGTTTTATGTTTTTTTTCTTTTTTTTTCTTTGGCTCTTCCGGACCACAGCGGCCGAGTTTTCGCTAAAAAAACGCCGGAGCGGGGGCCTAGCAGCTCGGGGCAAGCTCCGTGACCTCGGCGGGGGCGAAAAAAAAAACACGACGCGGGCGACGCGAATCGCAGCCGCAGATGGCGCAGGTGCCGGGTCGGGGCGGAAAAAAGCCTCTTGGAGCCCAAGCCCCAGGAGGTTTGGCGGGGTTTTTGGAAGGACATGAAGTCACTCCGGATCTCTCAACTCTCAAGCCATTAGAGCTCCTGTGGAGGGAAGCGTTGAAGCAGCTCAATGTCAGCTTTGTAGAAACTGTGTGGCTGATTTTGTGAGGATCAGCCTGACCCCTTCTTCTCAAAAGGAGATGTGCCTGGGAAGGGTAACACGCACGGATAGCCCAAGCTCCTCCACACCTATCGGGGACCACCTATCTAGGACCAGGCCCCGTGATCTAAAATCCGCACAACACATGCAAACGTGGGGGCACTAGAAATGTTCCGCACTTCTTAAAAACCTGCTGCGCTTACAAGGTGGCATGGGTTTTCTCGGGCCCTCTTGGCGCTCGATGCCAAGGTGGGAAAAAGAGGCTCCGGCTATACCAGGCCCCCCGGCGCACCAACAGCCGCGCCATCTCCGCGGAGCCGTGGAGCACCGCCCAAGTGAGGGGCGTCCAACCGGCCGCGTCCTCTGAAGCGGTGGGAGCGTTGAGCGGAGCGGTAGGGCGGGCCAGGTGACCCCGATGAAACCATCCCTTGCTGGCGGTGTCCATTTTCTTGGTGTTTTTTTGTTTCTCCCTTGTTCTTCCTTTTTTTCGGGGACCAAAGCAACTGGGTTCATATTCCTTTTGAGTCACAATCAAAACCCGGTATTAAAATAATTGACCCAGAACCAGGTAAGGAAATACAAAGGCGGAGATCCGCAGCTGTTTCTGGCTGGGAGTGTCCCTTACTAACCTTCATCTATCCGAGTTTTGATTGTGGCTCAGGTGCTCAGTGGCGAACCAAACTTGTGCGACAGGTAGGGAATGAGGGAATGAACCTGGGGATTCGCTCAAAGGAAACCAGAAACGATGGTTTAAATCGGGGTCAGTCCAGTTCTCGTTCCCTGCCTGTCGCACCAGCCGGCAAACTGCCAAAATGGTAAACATCCGCCTAACAACTAATGGCAACTCAACTTATTGACAAGTAACAACCCTGATCTTGAAACATCGGGGGCTCAACATCAAGGCCAACGCCAAAAGGCCCCTCCACCTCCTGAGATCCTGGTTGATGGAACAAATTATGCGCGCACACACACACATGATACATAAAAGACAACCGTCTAGTCTGCCCAGTTTGCCCAACAACTCGCATTCTGCTCACGAACACGAATCAAACAAGTATATGATGTGTGCGTGTGCGTCCTTGTGCGTTTGACCTACCCCCTACTCCAAATACCCACTTTCTCTAGGGTTTTTGTTGGAAAACCAGGTTTTTCCAGGTAAATACCTCCTTTTTTAGTAGAGGGTCGACCTGACGCCCTAAAAAAAGGTGGGTATTGGGTGGCTAAGGGGTATGTATGCCAAAGCCAGCGTCATCCCCCCACCCCCGCTCCCTCCACGCCTTGTAGCGAGGGATAGCATCATGCTCGAGGAGGTGAGACACCAGCTGGCGCCCACAGCTCAAATTGAGTCACAACCAAAACCGATCGGGATGAAAATGGCACACCCCAAATCCATGTCATTCACAATCAAAACCCGGTATTAAAATGGTCGACCCAGAACCATGTAAAGAAATAAGAAGGCGGCTGCAGCTATTTATGGTTGGGATTGTCCCTTACTAACCTTCATCTACCGGGGTTTTGGTTGTGGCTCATGTAAGGATTTTAAAAGGCGGCCGCACCTATTTCTGGCTGGGACTGGCCCGTACTGACCTTCATCTACCCTCACTAGCCTTCATCTGCGCGGGTTTTGATTGTGGCTCTATTGAAGGCTCTGCAAATGCTATCGGATAGCCAGCGTTCTGCCATCTTGACCGCAGCTTCCCCGCTATTGATTCTTATCAACCGCAATAACCCACTTATAAGTCCCAAGTAGAGTTAACCTCGTTGCTACTGGGTTGTCTCCCAGGTGGCCGACCAGTTAACTTGGCAACGAACCTCATCAGAGCCCGGAACAATCAAAACTCGCCTGGATATCCTCGCGCTGGGCTCCGTCCATAAGACGCGCGCACTGCTCCTGCGCCTCAGCGAGTGCAGGAGCTTCAACAAAGACATGGGTGTGGTGTGTTTCTATCATTTGGACCGGTCCCCAAAATGGATCAAGGCTGTCCTTTTGGTGTCCCTTCAAAACCAACCAAAAAGGGGTTTCCCCAAGCAAAGACAGACCCAGATCGAAGCACAGCATCGCACGCCTGTATCAGCACAATGAGCAATGAGCAATGAGATTATCAAATCCTGGAATCCATCAAGCCTTAGTCCAGTAGACTTTCTTAAGTTCACCCGTCCAGGTAGGCGACAAGAACACCTTATGCAAATCCCTCTGCGACTTGCTTAACCTGGCATTACTTTTGGTGACGTTTCGGATACCTTCCGGTTCATGCCGGGTCATGGCCATTGTGGGTGTGCCTTTTCTAAGGTTGAAAACCCCAAAATGGCTTTGGTTTTCTTTTGGTTTCCCTTCAAAACCCAGCAACAAGGGGGGTTCCCTCAAAAAAGGCAGACTCTTCTCAAGCGCCTGTGCATCTTTGCCTGCAATTGGTCAGCTCGACTCATCAGAGCGCGAAGATCTCTGGCATCAAGGATCACCCAAATGATCCGAGGAGAAATGGAATGACCTGATTTAAACCATCTCTTGCTGGCGGTTTCCTCTTTTTGGGGACCAAAGCAGCGGGGTTCATACTCCATTTGAGTCACAATCCAAACCCGGTGTCGACCCAGAACCATGCTTCAAGAACTAGGAAGGCGGACCTCCGCAGCTATTTATGGCAAGGGGATCGTCCCTTACTAACCTTCGCTTACCCAGGTTTTGAGCAAGTGGCTCAACTGGGGTTCCTCACCACCCCACCACCCCCACCTTGCGGATCGGATCGGATCGGGTCCCACGACACTGGGGCCGCAGCCAAGACCACCGCGGAGCGCAGCTCCAGGTGCTCCCGGCAGTGGTCCAGCGACGTGAGGCCTTGTTTAAGCCCGGCGTCGGGTTTCAGAAGCTGGAAACATCGAGATATCTTGAGGGCAGCGGGGACCCTTTTTCTTGCGTTTCTTTTATTTGTTTAATTTTTTTGGGGGGGGAGGGGGGGACCCTTTTGCTGGTGTTCTTTCTTTGTTAGTTTTCCCCAACAGCTGCAAGCTTTGGTGCTCTTTTTAGCGCCCCGCAGCCCTCGTAGAACCTCGTGCAACCCTGGTGGAACCTTACCTCAGGCCCGCCCCGGACCACCCCGGAGCCTATCTGGGCTGAGACCCCAAAGCTTTCGGCTGTTGGGGAAAAAACAACAACAAGGAAAAAGGGCTGCCCTCAAAGAATAAGCTCAGGTGATATTCCCAACAGCATGCGATGCTCTTTTTAGTGCTCGCACCACCCTGCAGCCCTCGCAGAACCTCGTGGAACCCTCGTGGAACCCTGGTGAAACCCTGGTGAAACCCTCGTGGAACCTTACCTCAGGGCCGCCCCAGACCAGCCCGGAGCCTATCTGGGCTGAGACCCCAAAGCTTTCGGCTGTTGGGGAAAAAACAACAACAAGGAAAAAGGGCTGCCCTCAAAGAATAAGCTCAGGTGATATTCCCAACAGCATGCGATGCTCTTTTTAGTGCTCGCACCACCCTGCAGCCCTCGCAGAACCTCGTGGAACCCTCGTGGAACCCTGGTGAAACCCTGGTGAAACCCTCGTGGAACCTTACCTCAGGGCCGCCCCAGACCAGCCCGGAGCCTATCTGGGCTGAGACCCCATGCTCACCTAAGCTCTTTTTCTTTTTTCTTTTATTTTTTTTTTTGGGGGGGGGGGGGTCGTTTCAAAAACTGTTGACTCCACCCAAAACCCAGTCTTTTGGGGGCACCCTCAAAATGGGGCTCTCAAAATGAGCCACTACCTCATGAAAATGTATGGTACCATGGGGGGCAATTAGTTCTCAGAGCCATTTGGCTACAGCCCCCTGCTTTGAGAAAGTTCTTTGGTGCTCCTCCCATTGCTAATGCTCAGGGAATGACCTTCCGGGTGTCGGGTGTTGGGAATGAACCGCTCAACGGGATTCCCTAAAAAGGAAACCACCAGCAAGGGATGGTTCATGGCCATTCCATTTCTCATTCCCTGCCTATCGCACCCCTGTGGTGGCTTCCTTTGAGAGGACCAAAGCCTGGGCCCCCCCCCCGCCCAGAAAAAAATAATAAAGCGATATACTGACCGCCCCCCCCCCCAAAAAAAAAAAGAAAAGAAAAGAAAAAAAACTCAGGTGATATCCCCAACAGCATGCGGTGCTCTTTTTAGTGCTCGCCGTGGAACCCTAGTGGAACCCTGGTGGAACTGGGGTGGAACCCTCGTGGAACCTTACCTCAGGCCGCCCCGGACCACCACGGAGCCTATCTGGGCTGAGACCCCAAAGCTTTCAGCTGTTGGGGAAAAGAACGAAACCGCCCACAAAAACCGCGTCGGAGCTCTGGCCTTCTTTGTCCCTCTGCGTCAAGTCCGGGCCGCACCGCAGCAGAAGCCGGACCTTTCAGCCACCAAACTCCCGGGAGGGGACGGCCGGGAGGGACGCTCAGGGGTTTAGGGTTTAGGGTTTTGGAGTGTCTAGGGCTTAGGGTTTGGGGGTTTTAGGGTTTAGGGTCTAGGGGAGATGCCGAGAGAGTCCGAAGTCTTGGGAGCTGTTGATGTTTCCGAAAGTTTTGGATGACTTTCAAAGCTCAGGGCTCAAAATGTTGGCCTTGGAGTTCCACTTCAGAAACTCGGCACTGGATTGTCCCTTCACAGAAAAGTGTCCTGCAACGAACAGCAGAGCTGTCTGCTCGTTGCTTGAAACAATCTCAAAACACAGCTTGAAACACATAAAGACGAGCACGGAATCGCAATCAATGTTGGCTGATCAACGAGCCTCAGACCAAAAAAACACATAAACCGAGCAAAGAAACCCCGCCCCAACACACCATCGCCCTCTAACCAGAGAATATGCGGCAACCCCTGCCTTGCCCAGCCCTTAGAAATGTTCCTTCGGGCACGGCGTTTGCTTTCCGAGGCGCCACGGGCAGGTGGCCCAGACGGGCCGCCCACATCAGGGCGGTGCGGTCTGGCGGGGAAGGCAAAAGGAGCGACCAATGGCTGTGGCGCAAAAAACCGGAATACCAAAATGGAACTCTGTTAAGTGGAAAAATAAACCAAGACCTGCGGTTTGCCCCTCCTGTTTAATTTTGAGCCACACCCAAATGTGACTGTGGGCAGCACCCGTCGACCAAAGAATATGCTGGAAGTGACTCTGCCCACAGTCATATTCAACCAAAGACTATGCTGGAAGTGATTGTTTCAACTGCGAACAAATTCACCTATCAGCTGCGGGGCCATGGTCTAAGCAAAAGGAGTCCGAGTCCAAGGACGCACCCTGCCACAGACCTGATCATGGGCCCGCCCAAGACACATCTCACGCTGGTAAAAGCAAAGGGTTGATGCAAGTGGACAGAGTTCAGGGCATTGCACCAAAACTTAATGAACCCGCTGAGCCCCTTTCAGAAACTCAAGATCAAGATCGCAAAGCACCTTCGTGGCATGGAATGAATCAGCTTCGTTCGTGGTGACTCACCCCACACAAATCGCTTGGATGCGAAACGACACTGCTTTGACCTTCGCTCGGCGCACCACCATAGCTCGGTCTGATCGCCCCACCTTCGAAGTCGCGGCATTCCGTATCAGCATCTGCCTGGCGGTGCACCGTTCTCAGGCTCGCCATGCCGCTAAGAAATCGCAAACCTGTGGATCACTCTATATGCCCTGCCGAAACCGGCTGGTACGAAGAGTGGAAGCAAATTGTTGCACAGGAACCAACTAGTAAACTCAACCAACCAAAAAAGGATGCCCTTTTTTCACATGGAAATCCACTGGACATCTGAGTGACTTCCTGCACATGATGCACAACTGTGTTGTGCATTGCATGGTTTCACACATTAAACAAGTGCAATGCTTGTCCCTGCCCCCTCCCCTTCTTGTCCGCAACCTCACCCTCCTCCTCCTCCCATCCGGCACTTCGGCCTTTTCCGAAACAGGCGACTCCAACTCCCGGCGGGCTATTCAAAGTTGGGGCTGGGCTGCCATCTGTACAGCTCGAAACCAGGCAGCCAAACACACCGAGTCCGGGCCCAAAAGCGATTGAAGGCGACTCTCTGCCCTAGTTGGGGCCTTTCCTTGAGGAAACTTGCCATCTGACACCCTCCAACTACCGTGGAGGGTGTGTCAGAGAACACTAAAAACCAAGAATACAATATCTTCCTGCCATCAACAGCCTTGGGACTGGAGGCGGAGTGTTGGCTCGCACACGCCGTCCTTTCAAAAGGGAAGCATGGAACCATGGTACTCAGGCTGAGCAGCCTGGTTAAGCCATCTGCAAAACAGTCGTGCAATCTCGCAGAAAGCACACCCCATTCAAACATGCGACCAGTGAGGCATGCGAGATCTTGGCCCCTTTGTGGACAGCTCAAAGAGTCGGAATACATCAGTAAATCTGTTGAAAAGTGAATTAATCTTATGACTTCTCAGAAAAATAACTAGTCAAAAACCCATTAATTCCCACTTAAAAAGCGATAAGTCTAAATGAATGCATGGCCAGAACTTGGTTCGAGAGAGCAAGGTCTCTTGCAGCTTTGCCGTTGGCAACTTGGTACTGCTCCTCCTCACCAGCAAAAAAATACGAGCTCCGAGACTAAGAATCTGCAGCCTTTGGGCACAGCCTAAGCCAAAGAATGTAGCGCTTCTTCTGGATCGATCCTTGGCGTTTGTTGCTTCATGTGCATGGTTCATATGGGTGTGGCTCAAACTTAAACGATCGGAGGGGCAAACCGCAGGTTTTGGTATCCATGCTTCCACTTACCAGGGCAACCCATTTTGGAATTCCGGGTTTTTGAGCCACAGCCATATGCAGTGAGAGCATGCATGAAGAAAATTGAATGCTCGGACTGCGCAAGGCACAGAACCACCCAATCGCCCAAGAACTTCTTTGAGTGATCACATGCTTCCAAGTAGCCGATTCAGAAAGAGGTAGGCATCAACACCTGCGCCAAAAAAAATCGGCAGATGAAAATTCCGCTCGCTCTTGAGACTCCGGCCCAGTCCAGGAAGATTCCTCAGTCAAGCTCACATTCCTCTACTGGCTGGTGCGATGAGTGGGGAAATGTGGGAATGAACCCAGGCTTTGGTCCCCTGAAAGGAAACCACAAGGGATGGGTTGTAAGGGTCATTCCATTTCTCATTCACTTATCGCGCCAGCAAGAAAACTCTATCCTGCAAATGTCCTATCCGCCACGAGCTCTTGGCGACCAACTGGTGCGGTACCCGGCCCCCTTTGGCCCCCGCATGAGATGCAGGGACCCGCCCAAGTACATGGCGTAGAGTCGACAGAGGGGCAGGCCTCAAGGCGAAGGACGCAGTGCGCTGACTTTCGACTGGAAACATGGGCTCGCCTTTTTGAAGCTTGGACCAACAAAATGGCACAGCCATGTTCCTTTTGATTTCCCTTTGAACCACGAAAAAAGGGGGTAGCCTCCAAAGAAGACAGACCCATGCGCTTTTGTGGATTTCACCCGTTCGTCCTCCTGTTGGTCCCTTTTTAAACAGTCTTTTAGTGCTCTTGTACTATTCCACAGGGGTGGATCCACCAAAGCCCCATCCAAAATGGTTTCCTAAAAACACCCGGCGAACTCCAACCTGTCTGGAGTTATGGATTACACCGACACCGAGCTCGCTTGCACGAGGCCTGGAATCCGCGGAAGGTTGCAGAGACAAGTCGGAGTTCCCCGGTCCTGAATAGCTTCTCAGTTTGAAGCCAAGTCTAGGAATAAGCCTAAGGTTGACATCCTGGAGATGATGATCCCGCAAATGTCGGCAAGGCACGTCCCTGCGAAAAGACACAAAGCAAACTGCTTCAAGAATGGCTCCTACGGTAGAACACGCTGAGAAACTTGGCAGCAGCAGGTGCATTCCGTAGGACCCAAACGGACTCTGAGCCTTACCTGTTGTTCGGCGAGAACCTGATTGGAGTGCACGTGCCGCCTTGTGCCATGCAGCTGCACATTGACTGGGGAGCATGACATGCTGCTGAGGTTCAGCATGCTGAGTTGCAGGTCAAGGGGTCCTTGTTTAGTAAGCGATAGCCATCCGGTATGGATGGCAGGCAGGCAGGCAGGCAGGCAGGCAGGCAGGCAGGCAAGCAAGCAAGCAAGCAACCAAGCAACCAAGCAAACAAGTAACCAAGCAACCAACTAGCCTCGCAACCATCAACCAAAATCAAAACCAACAAATTAGCATCCAAGCAAGAAGCCAAACAAACTTAAACAACCCAGCAAACCAAGAAAGCAGCCAGGAAACCAAGAGAGCAACCAAGCAACCAAGCAAAGAACCAAGCAACTGAGCAAGCAAACAAGTGGGCAAGCAAACATGCAGCAAAGTGGGCTTCCAGCACACGGAATCTTTGGTGGAAACTAACATTAAAGTGAGCGTTTGCCACGCCAAATAATGGAACTAATGTCTAAAGCTGCCACTCAAGGGAGCCCCGTGATGGAAGCCATGATGGCCAACAAACCACATTTTGCGGAAAGAAGAAACAAACAAAAAAGACACATACACACCAAACCAACATTCATGGTTGCAAACAAACCAAATATATGCAAAAACCCGCCCAAACCCCAAAGACATGTTACCAAAAACCTGACCAAACCCACCTAACATATGCCAAAAACCCGCCCAAACCCCAAGACGTGTTACCAAAAACCTGACCAAACCCATGTGGCAAAAACCCCCAACAAAACTCCAAGCGAGCCAGCGAGCCCCGGCCTATGCCGCGCCCGGCCATCGGGCTCTCCCCGAACTCCACGCCCCAGGGCCGAGGCTCCGCAGCACCTCAGCGCAGTCCGTCGCACGGAAAGGCAAAAAAAAAAGCCCCCGGCGGGATGGGCAAAATGGACCCATTGGACTTGTTTGTTTTCTTTCGGGACCTAGTATTGGCCCCTGGTACTTGGACCTGATCATTACAAGTCCCGATAAATGTTAAAACCCTTTGGACATCAAGCGGAGTCATGTCCACTCACTTTTCAGGTGGTCCCCCTATGAAACAATTCATAGCCATATGGAGGTATCCCACAGAAAAAAGAATCTCGAACCGAAGTCGAAGTGGAGGTGTCTTGCCCCTGCAGCTGCCGCCTTCGTGTTTCCCCTCAAGGATGAGGCAACGCATGGGGATTGATCCAAAAGGTCCGAACGTGGGATGACCATGTTGGAAAACCACTAAAACAAAGAGAAACTGCAACCACCAAATGGGAAAAGTTACCTCTGGTCATTTGGATTTGGGGGGCCAGTTTCATTGATCAAGCCCCCTATGGATGCGTCTTCTTTTTTAAGGTTCTCGTTTAGGGGTTGGATGTAAAGCGAAACCAAAATCCAACTCCAACAATTTTGGGGGGGCTCACCTATTTTGAGACACACCATTTGATGCTCAGCATCTCGCATTCCCACGGAACCTAACCTAAGCATCTCCTTCTGGCCCCCTTGCCTTCAGCTTCCCACCTCCTTTCGGAGGGAACGACGGTGCCTGCGGGCCCCGAATCGGGGACCCGGGCGCTGCGCCACAGTCGCCAGCATGGGCGAGGTGGTGAAGAGATAGGACCAAACCCTGAGCGATGGCCCAAGGAAAAATCAGGTGGCTTGCAGTTGAACAAAGCATGAGGCATTGACCCCGTAAATGATGTATGGATTGAATGGTTGATGTTTGAAGATTTCCTTCTTTGAAGCGCATGTCCCTTCGTGTGTGTGTGTGTGTGTGTGCGCATGCTAGATTCGCCAGATGTCGTTCGCATGCGTGGTCATGTGTGCGTGGACGCACATGTGAGATGGTCAAAGGAAGTATTCAGCAATGGATAGAGAGCGAGAGAGAGAGAGAGAGCAAAAGGGGAGTTTGTCAAGTCTGATGCTTCCTGCAAGTGTGGTCATTGCCCAATTCGACTGGAACCTCTCGGAACGTATCTGGACGTTCGGGGCAATTCAAGAAATGGCTACCTTTAGAGCACTGGCGAGATTGTTTCATCCTGAGACATCTCTTCTTCGCCCCTTCTTTGCCCCACTTCTTCTTCTTCTTCTTCTTCTTCTTCTTCTTCTTCTTCTTTATATCAACCAGCACCCAGCTTCCACAGCCGTGCTGGACCTGGACCTGTACAGCTTCTTGTTTCTATCGCCCGAAGTCCCGAAATTGCCACGTCTTGGCAAGTCACTGGCTCGCGCTCTTCGAGTGCATACCCCCGGCTCGGTCGCTGATGCGGATCACCACCTGGCACTCTGGCACTCGACGATCATCTGGAGAAGAGTTGCCGGAAAACTCGTTCGGGTGTCTTTTTGTTGGGGGACCCACAAAATGGCACAACGGTTGTCCTTTTGGTTTCCCTTGAAAACCACAAGCAAATTGCACAGCAACTTGCTGGTGCCTGAGAGTTGGGAATGACCCATGTCGGGAATGAACCCAAGGATTCCCTTAAAGGAAACCATGAGGGATTGCGTATGAGCATTCCCTCATTCCTTGTTGAGAACTCATTTGGGTGTGTCTTTCTCAGGGGACCTACAAAATAGCTGGTTCTCCTTTTGGTTTCCCCTCAAAACCCCAAAAAGAGGGGGGGGGATCCTCAAAAAGACAGACCCATGTCATTTCCGTGCGGCTCTGGAACC